AAAAAAAAAAAAAAAAAAAAAAAAAAAGCCTCTTAATATCCTATGGCGTGGGGTTTGGGAAACACTTTCCACTTTAAGCCTCTGTTTTCCAAACTTGAGAAAGCTGCCTTCCCAGAACTCATTAAGGTTTATATCTTCCTGGCAAAGGTCCTAGCTATGGGTGTAAGACCCAGCTCAACAGGCCCAGACAAAGACAGGCAGCAGCCCCACCAATGGCACAGTCTGGAACAATGAGCAAGGGTCTGGCTGAAGCCAAAGGGACAGAAGACCCTCCATAACCGCAGCAGCTAAGGAAGAAATTGTGGCTCTGTCCCAGGAGGTCAAGCTCTACTCAGGACCTCACATTTCCACCTTGAGCCTAACATGTCACTGCTCCTCATGGCCTAGAAGTCTCCTTGGCCAGAAGAGCACACATCCCAAGCTCAAAGCCTGATTTCCCTTTTGAATGGACATAAAGACAGTCTGTGATAACCAGGCCCAAGAGACCAGACTACATTCACCTTTATCACTTAACAGCCCCATAAAAAAAAAAAAAAAAAAAAAAAAAAAAAAAAAAACTCACTGCCTTGGAGTCAATCTCCACTCATAGCAACCCCTCCTTGGGTTTCCAAGGTGGTATCTCTATGCAAGTAGATTGCCCAATCTTCCTTCCAAGGAGTGGCTGGTGGGTTTGAATTGCCAGCCTCTGGTTAGCAGTCAAATAAATGCCTTAGGCACTACTCCACCAGAGCTCCCTAACAGCCCCATATAAATTCCAATTATGAATCAAATTATGTCTCATCAAAAAAACATCAATGCCCCCCAGAAAAGGATGGCCCATTTTCCTTCTTGTTTCTGAAGAGGGTATGATTCACAAAGTTGAGCAAAGAGACTTCATCTGCTAAATACCAGCTTCATGACAGACCTTAGCTGTCTCATTCATTACTTCATCCCCATGCTTGGGATATGATAGGTACTTATTAATTATTTGTTGAATAAACAAATGCATAAAATAAATGAATGAGTGAATGAGTCAAGCTGATGAATATGCCATTGGCAATCTCAAGAGTCAGTATGTGGATTCAAGCCAGGCCACCTGAGCTTATCCTGGCTCCAACATTTAGTTGCATAGCTTTGGGCAAGTTACTAAACTTCTCCATTTCTTAGTATTATTCGCTATAAAATGGGTTGCCATGACAATTAAATTAGTTAGCATTTAAAGTAAAGTGCTTAAAATAGTACTTGGCACATAGTATGTGCTTCATAAGTATTATCTATAATCATCGCTGTTGTCGTTATCATCATCATAGAAGGTAGAGAGAGGGTCCAATTGAGGGAATGAGCATACAATTTCATCTAGACTGACCCCTTTTAGTCAACATTATTTGTTGAACTCCGTTATGTACCAGGCCCTCTCCTAAACTCCTGCCTGGGTGCAGGAACAAGGAAATCATTTTTAAATGTAAATCCTTCTCTGTGAATGTTACTTCTTGGTGACTATGCATGGTCAGGACTCCACCTATGATCCCATCCTCCTATGCCCTTGTCCCTTATATATCAAAAGCCCATTGTGAGGGGAGGCAACAGTACAAAAATAAAAAAATAAGTAAAAATTTTTAAAAAGCCCGTTGTGTCGGCCTAGATACGTAGCCAATACTCCAAGAACTAAGAGATTCATGCACTTGGTAAAAGAAACAGAAAGTTCAATGAGCAACTTTGGAGGGGAAAATGTATCATTTTGCTTACCTCCAAGGCTACATTTTATCTGCCCGTGCATTTTCCAGATCTGAAAACCACTTAAAAGACCTTTTCGAAAGTGATTCATTAAGAATAAGGACAGTAGTTCAGCTGTACATGATGGCATATATATAAATATGAATTTGTAGCCACACAAAATCTTGCATGAAATACTAAGTGCATTGTACATTTTCTGCATGCCTTTAAAAGCCTTAACAACACATGCTCCTCTTTCATATGTTTGTCGCCTGATAAGATTGTTAACTTTGATATCAAAAGCATGTTAAAACAGTTGCATGCATTTCCAGGTCGTATTTGCTCTGCTGCTTTCAAAAGAGATGTTCATTCTCCCTCCCCTCCCCCATCTTCCTCCTTCCCTCCTTTTCTGCCTCTCTCCCTGTCCTCCTCTTAGTCCTTTTCTTTTTACCCCTAACATGTACTTCATCTTGCACATAAACAGTATTAGTAAGGAAAATATGTAAAAAGATGTCGTTTCTTGCATTTAATTGTGCCAACTGTCCTTTCATTTCATTTTCAGAGAAATAGTTAATAATTCATTTAATGCTTTATATGTAGCAAATGATTCTTACCCATATTTATAAAATATTGTTCAGATGTAAAACATTGTTAATACTCATAAACTTAGTGTGATTCTTACAAACCCCACCAAATTTAAATGTAATTTATGCAGTTAAAAAATAATAATAATAAGGACAAGAAAAGTGGGCTTCATCTTTGAAAGAACTTCTAGGCCTCGCTGAGAACCACTCATCCCTTATCCAGGATCTGAGTTTGACAGTAAGAACTGAGGTTGGCCAGCGGTAGGGGCTGAGAGGTCAAAGACTCCCCAGCAACCCACCCAGCAAGCACCACTATTCTTAGAGAGGGCAACCCACGCCATCATTTTCAGAGTAAGCCTCAGAGTTGTAGCCAGAGATGCAGCCAGGCCAGGCGAACTATCCCAGACCTGCTATCAACACTTTGAGAGGTGAGAGCTGACAAAGGCTTTGTTAGACTGGCATAGCGGTGTCACTACCACTCAGAGTTGATACTTCACCACAGGAGAGGAATTTCTCCTCTGTGGATTCCAGATGCAGCCAGTGTCCCCTGAAGATGGCCAAATATTGATGACACATCTAGGGGGGTAGCCAACAAGGGTACAGGGTTATGCTAAAATTCCTTTCAGTGCTCTGGAGCTCATCAAGGTGTTTTGCTAATTTTCTATCACCAAGCTTCTTCTAGCCACATACAAAAACCTGCAGTTTGGGAAAATGACACTCTTGTCAGCAAGTCTCTTCTACTTCAAAGGGTCTCATAACTCACCCCAGAGCCCTCTGCCAGCCAAAACTAGCTATTAACAGCTTTGCTGGCAAAGCAGCTACTGCGAAGTTCAAGGGCAGATAGCAGACTCCCTGGGCTCAAAGCAGTAGACCTCCCTTGTCAGAGAGAGCCAAAAAGGTGAAGATAAAGCCCTTAAATGACCCCAGCACCCTGTCATCCTGACCATCCACTTGCCTGCATGAAGTCCTGTCATCCGCAGCAGACCAGTCCTCAATTACCTAAAAACTAGTCCAGACGCCCAAGTGGCAGGAGGTCCCGGGGGTCCCTTAATTTCTTAAACCTGACGATTTAGTCCAGGCCGCCAGAGAGCCAGGATGCGGCGGCCGGCTCATCTGAAATGCTGGGGCTGGGGCCATCACAGTGACAGGGGAAGGGGCACGGACACCGGCAAGAGACAAGCCTGGGCTCGGCACTGAGCCTCAGCCTCTGAGATCTGCGAAGCCCGGAGCGGAGGTTATCCTCCTGGGGCGCCCCCGGGTTCGTCCTGGGCCGCAGGGGCCAGGGGCCCAAGGTCAGCAGCACAGCATCCCGCGCACTCACCGGTTTCGGGAGACAGGGCCATGCCGTGGGCCCGTAGGAGGCGACCGCAGGGTTGGAGCGCAGGTGGCGACGCAGGGCAGGGCGTACAGCGAGCGCCGGGGAGCGGATTCCCCGGCACTGAGGCCAGACTGGTCGGGGCCCTGGCCAAGCCGCGCCCCCGGCCCCAGCTCGGCGGGAGCCTGCAGCGCACCCCGCGGTAGGGGCCAGAGCAGAGGACTCTGAGGGCGCAGCGCTGCGGCACCCCGGCCCCAGAGCCCAGGGCCGGGTCCAAAGGGAGAAAAAGAAGGCCGCCTACGCAGGCAAGAAGACTGCGTGCTGCGCACCGCCCCAGCCGATGCCCTACCTGGGCGCACAGCGAAGGAGCGGAGAGTGGGGAGGAGAAAGGCGCGGGCGGCCGCCGCCGCAGAGGTCTGCCCTGCCCGCCGCTACCTGAAGCGTCCGGGCCGCACGGCCAACAGGAAACTTGGGAGCGCCAGGGACCCAGTAGCCGCCCTGTCCCTCAGCCGGAAGCCACTCGCTCAGCGCTCCCGCTGCCTCCAGGACTCCTCTGGGCCCGCGCCGCAGCCAGTGGTCAGATGCTAGCCAGGCCCCCCCGGACCTAGCCTCCACTGCCACTGCCGAGCTCCGAGGCCGCGCCCCATAGTGTTCAATTTGCCGGGGCCTCTTCCCTGTCCAGGACTTTCCCAAGGTGAGATTCCGAGGGAGGAGGGGTTTCTTAGCCCCAAAACAGGTGACTTACTCTCTATAGCTAATCAGACTATCAAGCTTCGGTTTTTCTCCCGGACGTCAGTCTGGTCATTTGGATCACATCCCCGCCCTTCCCGACACACACAACTCGCTCTTGCACGCTCTCTCTTTTTCTCTCTCGCTCGCTCCCTCCCTTTCAAGCATTCAGCTCTCCGGCTTCTACACACGCCCCTCAAAGTCCGGAATGACCTCCTAATTGCCAAAGCTACTAGGTACTTTGTATCCTCCCTCACACACCACCTCACTCCAGCAATCGAACCTGCTCACTACGCATTCCTTCCTGAAATCCTTGGAGTAGACACCGTACAGAGTTGGCCTCTCTCCAGCCTCTCTCTCTGAGTTTTCCACATACCGTGGTGCCTGTATCTTTTTGGCCAACCAGCGTCGCACCACTGTCAGTTTGCTACCCTACTCTAGGGATCTCAGACACTCCCATGGTAACAATCCCCTATCATATAAGGACCCTTGCACCAGCCCAGAACTGTATCCAACTTCCTCGGAAATATCTGCACTAGAGGTTCCTCATCCATGGAAACATAGCCAAACCCAAACCCAAACTCCTAATTTCCTCCACAGAGACACCCTAGAACCTGCCCCTGCGCCTGTTTCTAGTCTTAGTGAATGAACCACCATGCAATTAACCACAGGCCACACTTGGGAGCCATCCTTGACTCTTTGTCCCTTTCACCTCTCACAGTTAGTCACCTAGAGGAAAAACAACACTGTGCCAGCTGCTTTTATTCGTAGTTGTCTCATTTAAGCATCCAGTTTTATTCCTTCTGTCTTACAACAGTGCTCGCCAAAGTTCCTGGATACAACAGCCCAAATAGTAAAAATATTTTAAGTTCATAGCCTGATTTTTACAATTTATTCATTTATAAATTATATGCACATGCAACTGTATTAATATATTATGTGTTAAGAAGTACACTACACAAAAATGTTAAAGGGTGTGGTTAAAGACAAAACAACACTTTAAATTATTTACTTTTTTAAATGCATTTTTAAAAATAATTTTTCAATGCATTTTATTGAAATAATTTATGTACAGTGAAATACACAAAACTAAAGTGACATGGGTCAATGCATTATTATTTTTTATTTATTTATTTTGCAGTGTTCCTTCCCCTCCCCTCCCACCCCTGGCAACCAAAGAAAGTTTCCCTCCATATATAAGCCTTTCCTTGACCCTCCACAATAACGAACTACTATATTTGTCCTTCTGTGATTGACTTATGTCACTCATCATAATGTCCTCCAAGTTCATCCATATTATACAGCGTTTCACAGACTATTCTTTAGTGCTGCACAGCATTCCATTATGTGTATGTACCATAGTTTGGTCATCCACTCTTCCACTATAAATCTTAGAGATAAGTCCCTTGCCAGATATGTAATTATC